CTCTCTCTCTCTCTCTCTCTCTCTCTCTCTCTCTCTCTCTCTCTCTCTATATATATATATATATATATATAGGGCTATATTAGGGAGATGCTAACTAGGATTTAAATGTGTTGTGACAGCTAAATTATAGAAACAATTATAATCTTTTGCTGTAAAGTCTCTAGAAGCATAAATATAACAATGTCAGCAATCAAAAGCGTAATGTATTTCTTTATTTTTCTGCTTTCCACTGAAAATGGGAAGTAGGCTGTGCTGCAAACCAGGCTGTATGATTCACAAGATAATTCAGTGAAGCCTCTAAAATGGAATCATGGCTTCAATATTTGTTAAGTTTAATTTGATTTGTGCAAAGAGTGTTTTTCACCATTGTTTTGTTGTTAAAATAGCATAATTATGCCTTCAAAGAGTTTATGCATGCACATGTTTTCGCTTTGTGAAGACTGGAATTCCCCATCTGACTTCTGCTTGATGCTCTGATGCAGTCGCCTGACTCAAGAAAATATCATTATATGGGTAAAAGGTAATGTAATTTGGGTCCATCACGACCTGAAACTGGGTCTGTTCTGATCCTTTTTATTGTTGGCTTGAACATGTTGGTCAGTCAAGTGAGTCCTTCAGAAGGTTTGCCTGTATTTGTTTATCACTTCCAGTGTCCTTTCGTTGTTTGCTGTCCAAATTTTGTCCTGTTTGTGTCTAAACAGGTGGGCATACTGAACAGAGCAGCTGTTGAATTGGTGAAGACAGGCTCACTTTGAGGTGTTGATATAGACCAGTAAATGCACATAGGCTTGTATGGTCAGCTCAGAGGAGGAGTTACTTACTGGGTTTTATGGAGCTGCTTAGGTGTCAAGCTTGGGGAGTTTTATATGTATAGTCTTCAGGAGGTGTTGAACACCTCCATGTAGAATTTTTCACTATCCTTGTGGCTTGTCCAAAGAGCTATCAGTTTTATAAAGTCAAAACAAAAGCAGCTTTTAGTAGCATTGGTACCACATTTCGGAGTGACACTTTAATAAAAGCAAAAAGAAAAGCATTGAAGTGATTTGAATTTGTGTTGTTTTTGGAAATAAAAACTGCTGACTTCATTACATTTTCTAGTCAAATGTAATTCCTCTTCTTCGTGAGTTTAATTTTAATAGATAAATGTGCTTTGTGGAT